CACACACACACACACACACACACACACACACACTCACACATACACACACACACACACTCACAGCTCCACCACCATCCTGCTGCCATTTTTCTCTCATCACAAGCTGCTTCATCTCTGCAGCTCCTCTCCACTCATCACTCAGGAGCAGCACTAGAAAGGAATCCTCTGCTATCTGAGAGGACTGGGCCTTTTCTCTGCCTTTTAATGGACTCACAGCAGCTCACAGATTGAACCTGTGGTTGTAGGTTGGAGCACCATGTTATCTGTTATGTAGGTGGCCGATAGTTTCCTGCGATGGCATATGAAGCAATTGATATTTGTTGGCCTTGGGTGCTTTTAAAGACTTTGATTCGTTTAGATTGATCATTTTAATAAATGCTGTACACTTGGACAATCTTTTCAGATAGAATACTACAGATTATAACTTGGGTCTCACTTTGATAGTTAGTCGATTACTCCTGTTAGTATTAATAAAGCTGGAATGTAGTTAAAACCAGTGGAGCTGCTCTACTCAAGTTTTCATTTCATTTATTTATTTATTTATTTGATCAGGGACCATGCATTTTACATAGAAAACATCTGATGTATTACATATAGAGTAGTTTTCTACTCCCATCCCTGGTTGGGCTTTTTAGTAAAAAATAGACAAAAGGCTCCTGCAAGGTGGCGCAGTTGGTAGCACTGTTGCCTCGCAGCAAGAAGGTTGCCGGTTCGCGTCCCGGTGAGGACACCCGGAGTCTTTCTGCGTGGAGTTTGCATGCAAGCTAGGTACACCACTGCAACTAGAATACAAGAATAGAATAGAACTTTATTGATCCCTTTGGTGCCAACCTCAGGGAAATTGTTGTAGTAGAAACAACAACACAACATCAGCAACAATAGCAACAATAATAATAATAACACTGGATACAGTAACAAAAGTGCCTAAATATTGCACACAGTCCGGTGATAGAGCATGATGCTCTATCTCACCCCAATGTCCTCACTTCTCACCCCTCTCTCCCCACCTCTCCCTGCTTGCTGCTCCTCCCCCTCCCCCCGAGCTCAGAGTTGAACAGTTTGATGGCTCGGGGAACAAAGGAGTTTTTAGTCCTGTTGGTTTTGCACCTGGGGAGAAGCAGCCTGTCGCTGAACTGGCTCCTCTGGGTGATGATGACAGTGTGCAGAGGGTGGCTGGCATCGTCCATGATGACCAGCAGTTTGTTCAGTGTCCTCCTCTCTGCCACTGTCACCAGGGAGTCCAGTTTCATGCCCACTGCAGAGCTGGCCGCCTGATTCATTTGTCCAAACTCAATGCGTCCCTTTTTGATGTGCTGCTGCCCCAGCATACCAAGGCGTAGAAAAGGACGCTGGCGACCGCCGACTGGTAGAACATCCGCAGGAGTTTCCTGCAGATGCTGAACGACCGGAGCCTCCTCAGGAAGTACAGCCTGCTCTGTCCCCTCTTGTACAGGTAGTCTGTGTTGCATGTCCAGTCCAATTTGTTGTCCAGCCACAGCCCAAGGTACTTGTAGTTTTCTACAAGTTCTACCTCATGTTCCTCAATCAGAACTGGTCGTGGGCATGGTCCAGATTTCCTAAAGTCTATGACCAGTTCCTTTGTCTTTGAGGCGTTGAGCTGCAGGTGGTTTTTTCTGCACCAGACAACAAAGTCGTCCACCAGACTCCTGTACTCACTCTCTCTGTCGTCCTTGATACACCCCATGATGGTTGTGTCATCTGCGTACTTCTGTATGTGGCACAGCCCCGAGTTGCAACAGCAGTCAGAGGTGTACAGGGTGAAGACGTTGAGAGGGAGGCACACTGAGGGAGGGGGGACTGCAGTGAGGGTGAGGGTGGCTTTGTATGCGTCCTGTACATTAGCATACAGGAGGTCGATTGTCCGGTTGTTTCTGGTGGGGCAGTTCACAAACTGGTGGAAAGTAGGCAAGGCAGAGTTCAGTGTGGCGTGATTAAAGTCCCCAGAGATGATGATGAGTGCCTCTGAATGTTGGGTCTGCAGCCTTGCTTGAAAGTAAAATGTTAGTCTGGAGCCCTGTTGGGATCACATTGGTTTAAGAACATTATCTTTTTTTACCAATAATGGACTGGGATCTCATCCATGAGCTGTTAAATAACTAATGCTATATGCTCTTTTCCTGTTTGTGGTCAAATGGTCATGTGCCAGTGTGAGGTTATACACCATCTACCTGTACAGTCAAGCACCAGGAAGGTAACAGATAACATTTAAAAATGCTCTTCACGTTTTACATTCATGGCCATCTCTTGACTTTCTCCTCAAAAGAGCAGCTGAAATGCCTGGGGAGTGTTGGAAATGTGAAGCTGATGCATGTTGCGTGTGCTTGACTTGTCTAATGTGCCTGAGTGCCTGGTACAATAAACTAGCTGACAGGTCATCAATTGAACTGAGATTGTTGTCTCACCATCAATGTTGTTGCCCTTTCCTCTCTGTTTTTTTTTTTTTCCTCTTCCCATTCTTCCTTCCCCTATGTCTCTATTCTTCTGTGTCTCTATCTCTTTCCCCTTCCCTTCCCTTCTATCTTCTGTGCAGGAGGCCATTGTAACAGGTCTGATCCCAGAAACTTCCTATTCTGTGACTGTGGCCGCGTATACCACCAAGGGTGATGGCGCTCGCAGCAAGTCAAAGGTGGTCACCACCACAGGAGCAGGTGTGTGAAGTGCTTCTATCTGTTACTGCACATTTTGAAATGAATGTTTTTACTCACTAAAATGTAAAATCTCTTAGTTTAATTCCCACCTTTATTTTGCTGACACAACCTTTCTTGCTCTGGTATGACCTTATTTCTGGCTAGTAATAGCAAGTAGTGGAAAGCAGCTACAATTAGTACATTTATTCAAATACTGTACTTAATTACAATTATGTGGTACTTTATTTGAGTATTTCCATTTGTGACACTTTTGGTTTTGATCCAAGTAAAGTGGTGCTAATCTGTCAAAGCTTACATCTTGTTTACGTATACCGAGATCTCGGCAGTTGGTCTGATGGTAAAAAGTAGGGTGGCCAATCTCATAGCATTGTGAAATGGTTCAATTTCTCCCTTAGAAAGCCGTGCTAACAAAGTAGGCCAGGAAACAGCAGCTGCTCAGCTACTAAAATGGGATGCCATGTGTTTTGAATGTTATTGTTACATGAATTTGTAGGAGTATAAAGTAGTGAAGACATTTTGGCAAATGTTTCATGTTTTGCAGTGCCTGGCAAGCCCACAATGATGATCAGCACCACCATAGGGAACACCGCCCTGATCCAGTGGCAGCCCCCTAAAGAGATGGTGGGGGAGCACGTGGGATACCAGCTGCAGTACAAGAGAGCAGAGGAGGAAGCTTTTACCATCAAAGACTTCAGAAAGACAGACGATCATTTCACCGTCACCGGCCTCCACAAGGGAGCCGTCTACATCTTCAAACTGTGCGCCAAAAACAAAGCAGGCAACGGGGAGGAGTACTTGAAGGAGATCAGCACCCCTGAAGACATTCCCAGCAGCTACCCACAGAATCTGAGCGTGGTCGGCCTGACTGCAACCTCCACCAAGCTGGCCTGGGACCCCCCTCCTCTGGCTGAGAGAAATGGCAAGATTGTCAAGTATGTGGTGGTGTATCGAGATATTAACAGCCAGCACAACAACACCAACATCACCACAGAAACACAGATGACTGTCAGCGGCTTGCAGCCTGACACGACCTACGACATCAGAGTCCAAGCTTTCACAAGCAAGGGGGGAGGCCCTATCAGCCCCAGCATCCAGAGCAGGACCATGTCCACCTCAATGCCAGGTGAGATGCACAGGCGGCTTGTCATTGCTGCTTAAACATTCTACACAGTGCTCCATGATGTAGGCACTTAGGGCTTCATTTTCCCTTACTGACACAAACGTAAACGCAAACAAAGTCTTGGTTTCTTTCCTCCTCTACATTTTTTACGTCCTTACCCCCTTACATCCAATGTGTTCTCAGTTCAAAACTTGCTCAAAGGAGCTTAGTATATATCAAAATTGATTGTTTTCAGTTTTAACCATGGTAAACAAAAGACACAATAAAATATTGGTGACTCCTGACCTTTGAAGTACCCACAATGTCTGACTCTGTGCCCAATTTTCTGTATGGTGTTGTTGAGTACTCTGGAAAGTTTGGAAAAATGTGATGAAAAATGGTCTACAGTTTACTATTTGTCACATTCTCAAAAAAAATCATGACATGCAGTATATCATGTGCAGCATTAAAGCAAAAAGATGAAAAATATGTAGTTTTGCCACAACTACGCACGTGACACTGGTTGCTGGTTGTCATTGTAATGCAATATGTTACTCAGCTCAGGTGTTTTTCAGGACTTAAAAGAAATGCTGATATGTTAACACAGTCTGAGACAACTGAATCTAAACTAAAATGGCGATTATACAAATCTGCTTGTAAATGGTAAATGGTCTGCACTTAAATAGCACTTTTCTACCTAAGGGGCATTCACAGCACTTACAATTTTTCTCATTCATCTATTCACAGACACACACACATACACACACACACACACACACACACACACACACCTGACAGAGAAACCATGCAAAGTGGTCATCTGCTATTAGGAGCAACACTGGTTGCTCCTGAACCACAGCCACTTCAGATATAATATTGCAGAATTGCCCTCAGACCTCAGAAGGTAAAGATGTCAGATTCTCCCAATGAAAATCTTATTCAGGAATTCAAATTTGAAAGACCAACCTTTAGTTAGTATTTAGAGCGACTAGATTTTGCGAGGCAAGGCATGTGTTTAATTAGTTGTACATAAAACATAAAAAAGTTCAAATGTGAGAGGACTTTAAAATGAATTAATTACTAAATTTACAACCATGCATAATGACTGTCCTTCAAAAAAAAAACATCTCTTCTGAAGCTGAATTCAAATTCAAACCTATGCTCACAGTATACAGAAACTGTTTTGACATTTTCACATCAACACATAATTAGACTCATATTGTAAAAGTCCAAGTGTGAACACATTCAAGAGTTTTTCATTAAAGGTTATTTTCATTTTCTATAGAGTGGAACAAAACTAAAGAAACCATAAATAGCATGTATGGATTTATTTAGTATAAAATAAAATAAAAACACTTGAAGTAACTTGAGATTTTTTGAACAGAGTGATAATTATGTGTGAAAGGTACTTTAGGTAACAATATGAAGGGATTTATAGATATTAATCTTTTTTTTGTTTTCTTTTTTTTTCTTTGGCTAATGCGTGAATGGATTAAAATGAGATCTGTCTCAGCTGACTACAAAAGCCCATGGACTTATTTCTATGTATAAAACTTGAGGTGAAAGATGTGACGTTTATACTCACTCTCGAATACCTTGCCTCTATAGGCTGTTTTCTACTGCAGGAATTCGCAGGCTGTTTTAAGATGGCCTCAACCTTTCTGCATACTCCAATCACAAGAGCCTCTCCTATAGAGCCTCTTTTAGGGCTGTTTTCAGGGGAGAAGATGTTGGTACTTCTGAGCAGCCCTGAAAGACACAAGTGAGTCTTGATGCTGATTGGTTTAACAGCTTGCATCAAGAAGAAGTAGTCTTCTCTGACATGGTCATCAGCAACATAGAAGTCATTCATAGCAAAGCTCTATTGCTTTATTTCCTTTGTGCTCATCAAACAGGAGTTACGTCCATTAACTACCATGTGACATTGTTTTGGTGCAGTCAGAATTAATGCCCCAGTTGAAGATGTCAGATCCTACACCACAGTGAAAACAAAACAGCCTGAAAGGGAAGTTTACGGTGCAGTTCCTGTAAACATTCGCATCAACTCGCACCTGCCCCTAAGTTCCTACAGTGGAAAGCCAACATTGTTCTGTTCTTCTACAGCACCAACAGCATGAAATGTTTGCTAGTGTTAGCTTACAAATGACAGGCTCCAAGCCCAACACACACTCCTACAGAAACTGCAAATAAGCATGAAAAAAGGGTTTATGTAGTGACTCCTGTGTAGCCAAATGGGAATGTGACAGACACTGGGGCGATTCTAGAGTCAACATTGGCAGGGTGTTCAATTTATGAAGGGACAAAACACAACATTCGTCAAACTAAGGTCTCACGTAGCCAGATCTATCTCCACATTTAGTTTTAGGGCTGTGTCAACGCTAGAGACATAGTCTACAGTCCTAAATATAGTTTATAGGCAAAGTGGAATCACAGTCGAGCGTAAGTTTCTTCAGTTAGTCTTGTTCAGTCTTGTGTATGTCACATCAGTGCTTTAGCTGATGACCAGGATGCTCACTTGTACCTACCTTCTGAGTGCAAGCAACATAAAGCTGAATGTAGTACACCTAAAGGCAACTGATAGTTTAACAAGGGTTTTCTGAATGCTACCCAAAGAACATGTTAATAATAAATGGACTGTTGTTTCTCTTTACTTAGCGGAGCGCTTTTTGCAATTATATGGATCACTACAGGGGTGTAATAGGAATGTTTGCTATTACCAAGATGCAGCACAAATTATGGTCTTATTAAGAAGCAAGAAATTCTTTCAGTTAACTTTTGACAAGGCTCACCTGCAGAACTCGAAACCATTCCAGGTCACAACGTCATAAAGCTTGTTAACAGACTGAAAATAAGCACTAATAATCCACAACATGAAACTAATTTGGGTCTGTTTACACTTTTTTGCTCCCTAAATAATTCCATAAGTGGTATTTCATTGTCGTGATGTCTTCAGTTTTTTTCTACACTTTAAAGAATTAAGAAAACCTTTGAATGCGTCAACGTGTCCAAACATTTGACTGTATAACTCCATTTTCATGTTTTATTGCACCTACTCATCATCTTTAAATCATCTCAGTCATATCCTCATTCAAATTAACCACCTAATAATCATCCAGATCTTCCCTCAGTTTTCACCAAGAACTTTGGTGTGAAGGCCGTGATGAAAACTTCAGTCCTGCTGACCTGGGAAGTGCCAGAAACCTACAAATCTCAAGTTCCTCTCAAGGTAAGGTCAGCAGCACACTCTTCCATCCATGCAGCAGCTAAAACACACATTATGGGCTTTGAATTTAACAACTAAAAGAGGATTCTTAGCAGTAATCTCACACAAGTAGTGAATATTTAGGGATATAAAAGGGCCAGTCAGAGGAGGTGAAACTTCCCAGACAGTATTATTGATGTAGACTAAATGATAACCACAGAGACTTATCAGGAAATCTGAAAGCGCCTGAAATAGGACTAATATTGGAACAAAAATACCTACTTTGTGAAACTTTTTGCTCTTTTGGCCTCTTTATCAGAACAGCTACTCCATAAATCATCAAGAGGATCAATGCGCACCATATTAAATTGTGCCTGTACCTGTATTTAATGACTGCCTATTTGTTAAGGGGTTTGTCTGGGTTGTCACTCAGCTGTTGGTACTGTGTAGCTTTGATGGTGAACTACAATGAAAAAAACTAAAGTTTATGAATATAGCTGAAGCATAAACTATGAATGATATGATAAGTGCCTCACAAAATATAATGCAAACAAGTTTTCTTTAACTAAGTGAATTGGAGCTAAATAAATAACTAAGTACTAAGGCCTGAGAAAACAACTACATAGAAGCATCTTGGCAAACATCTACAAGTGTGAGCACCTTCCTCAAGTTTGTGCCTGTAGAGAGACCACAACAAAATCTGTTTTCCTGCAGGGTGTGTTTTAGCCAAAGAGGGTAAAGTACACTCTGCCAGGGCAGGTGGATGGATGCAGTAGATACTTAATTTAGTTCATGCATTTAAAATTACAACTTCTAGTTTTACACCCCCTGCATATGGGCTAAGCAAACAGTATACAAGGTTACCTGCTGCTGATTTAGTTTCAAATTTAGCATACAGATATGAAAGTGGTGTCAATTTTCTCACCTAATTCTGAACAAAAGAGGAAACAGGGGCTGTTCCTATGATTATTCCTATATGAGCAGTGAAATGCATCTAAAGGAGGAAACATTTGAGCCAAGATGAGAGGAAGGATCATAAACCCTCTAAACTCCAAGCAATTTATCAGCCTTTTTGGCTCCTGTGACATTTTTAGACATTGTAGGCAAATTTTTCACTTCAAAAAAAAAATCCTGCATCCCTATGGAAACAGTCCCACGATAACCATTAGTAGAGAAAATTCAAAGCTGTCTTTTGTGCAGTTTAACATAGTTGTAATGCCATACATCAAACAAAAAAGAAGAAGAAGAAGAAGAAGAAAGTGATTTTGATAAAATATCATAATTCTAAGCATATATTTTGTTAATTTTCCTAAACAACCTGCACACCACATATAATTAGGTCAAGGAGAGTTGGAACATTTAAAAATCCAGTTTTTACAGTTTCTGGCTCAGATGAATGTTGTAATTTTGGCAATTTTTAAAAGAAAATTTGCCATTTAAATCTGCCAGCAGGTTTTGGGGTTCAGAGTATGAAAAGAGAATTCTAATATATTTCAGCTTGCTATATTTCCCATTTGTAAAAGCGTGTGCAAATGAATAGGTCAGCGATTAGGTCAGCCGGCAAGCATTTCGCAACGATCCTTAACGCTGTTGGCAAAACCTCCGTTCCAGGCCCCACATTTCTGCTTCCTTCAGTAACGCTGAAAACAAATGTTTAAAATGATTTTATTGATGAAGTTTCTTTTTTTTGGAAATCAGCAGGGAGCTTTGAATAACTGCCCCGCCAAATGCCATCCACAAGCTGTTTTGTGTGACTCCTTGTTTTCTTGAATATATAAGACAGAGTTGATGGTCTAACGTTATCGTGACCCATAGAGATGCTATAGATACGTTAATGCAAAATACAGCAGGCTAAAATAAAAGCAATTTTCATACACATATTTCAAATATGTCTATGTAACGTAACTTCAGGACTTCTTCTATGTTACTAATCATACTGCATCAGAGTTAGTAAGAAACTTTTTCCTTGCTTCAGATTTTGTACAACCAGCAGAGCGTCGAGGTTCAAGGCAACCTGAAGAGGAAGCTGATCACACAGCTGCAGCCAGACACTGATTATTCCTTTGTGCTGATGAGTCGAGGGAACAGCGCTGGTGGCCTCCAGCAGCAGGTCTCCATCCGAACAGCTCCAGACCTGCTGACGATGAAACCGGCTCGATACCAGGACGATGTGGAAGAAGGTGGCAAAGTGACCATCAGCCTGCCCAAGGTTCCTGCTGGAGCCTCTGTCAGGTCTGTGCTGTTTGCTTGTCAGAGGAGAGACTGTAAGGATTTAAAATCTGTGATTTTTAGTGCATCTCAAAAATTCTGTCTTGAAATGCATCTTATTTGATAAGCTGATGATAATGTTCAATAAAAGATGCAAATGCTAAGTAATGCTGTTCAATAAAGACTGAATATCTCACTATATAGCATTACCTACAAAACTTGCAATAATGAATAGCACCTTATTTTCAGTGCATTAATAATTTTCACATTAATAATTAATCACATTTATTGTAAAGTTTAATCAACACAAAAGCCGTACCGTATTGAAATTTATTGCATTGATACACCACTCAAAGCCCTCCGGTCACGTCCTTTAAGTGTGTCAAGCACCGTCTGTGGTGGGCGTCTGATGTCCTCCACTGTGTCAATGGTGACCCTTCAACTTGGATTTCATTTAAGTAAAGGAGAAGAAATTGCCGGAAGCCAAATCTGGCAAGTTGGGTGGGTGGAGGGCGATGACTGTATTTATGTGGCAAAAAACTGTGTGAGTTTGTCAACACAATGTGAGCTGATTTTGCCGAATCTCACAACATTACAGTAGAACTCTGCAATGTCAATTTGACCCACAGACCCACCTGTTGTCACACATTCAGAATGCTTTCCAGAAGTCCCATTCTGCCCTAAACTGTGTTAAAATGGCAGGCCTTCAACTTGAACTTTATTTTGGGGGAAGAGGAACGAATCACAGGGGGCCAAATCTGGTGAACCGGATGGCCAGATAGCAATGATTGTGTTGGTGTTTGTTCTCTGGATGGTAACCATAGACCCACCTCTCATCACTGGTACTGATCCTCAACATAAAGGATGGTGTAGTTTGGTGATGTTTGCTCTCTCAGCACATTTGAGGTCTGTGGTTAAATCCACAAATGCACCTGAAATTGAGAAAAGGATCTCCAAAAGTAGCAGAAGTACTGGGAGCAGTGTCTTGCTACACAAAAAAGAAAAAGGATAGATTTTAATCAGATGTGGTTCTTGCTTTTTCTAGGCACAGTTTCTAAAAAATCTTAATTGCATTTCATAATTTGGCCTTCTGAAAGGGTCCATTTTGGTTAATTAATGTTTCACTTTTGATACTTGAATTATAATTTTTTTTAACAATTTTGTGCTCTTACCAGAGGCAGATTTTGAGTTTTACTTCGTGATAATTCAGGCTTTTTATATTGTCACCTTTGCAAGTCAAGAATCTGAGCAATGCCTCCACCAGTGCGGTTTATACTAATGAAAGAAGCGTGCTGCTACATTGTGTGCACTTTGCCTTTCTTAGTATACTTTCAACGTGTGAGCAGTCTAAAGACCTTAAAAGGCCTCAGCACTCAGCAGCCCAGTGAGGCTGAAGCAAGAGGAGATGTACAAAGATACACACAGTTTTTTTTTTTCTTCTAAAAATCAATAACTCAGACACAAGCTTGTCTGCAGGGGGCTACTTCAACAGCCATTACAAGCCTGGTTTATTTACTGCTTGTCATGTTTTAGCCACTTCATAGCCAGCCAATTATCTGCTGCAGGACTTGTCTTTCAGGTCAGACTGAGTAGTTTTAAGTGCAAACAGAACATTCAGTCCTTCGGCATTACAGCTGATAACTACACAGACATATTAACAATAACCCCCACTGCCACTCTTAGCCCTCTCTTGATACCAGAAAGCAATTTATTTAAGAGTTATTTAAGAGTTAATCAGCAACAAGAATCCCAATGCAAATGCTGCAATTCAACAGAAGTTTATTTCTTATTATTACCCAGCTCGGTCAAGAGGACAGGCACTGTGAATTACATAGAAATAATTAATTGTGTTTCAAGTGTTTGTTTCTCTGAAGAAATTGCTCACAAGTAAGCAGTAATTAAGAGGAGTGGAGTTGACGGAGAAAAAGAAATAATGTCCAGAGCAGACCTCTCCATCAGGCCCAGAGCTGCAGCGATCCCATCTGAAATACAAAGTTTAGAACAAACATTCAGAAAAATTCTTTAAGATACATCACCTGAAACTGAAACATGTAATGCACATTAAACTCAGTGTGTTTCCTGTGGACATGGCATTTGGGTTTGTAATACAGTTGTGCTTCTGTATTTAATGCAGGTGGTACTACATAGTGGTGGTCCCTGTCACTGCAGCTTCTCAGAGGAGATGGGAGAACCCTGAAGACATGGACATACATGAGGTATGAAGTAGTTTAGTTTGATTTTGTTGTTTCATATAACATTAGGGAGTCTGTATACTAC